ACAATAATTTCTAATATTTCTAATTTCTAATATTTCCCAACATCTAATACGAAGGATGACATTCATCAGGGAACCATTCGACAAAGAATCTGGTAAATTTTATAAAGACAAGTAGGGATATAAAGATATAAATAACCTAGCCAGCTATAGTAATATATAGTTTTAATGCTACAAAAAAAAAGTATTGAAACTAGAAAGTCAAAACTACAAAAACTGGGTTATATTTATTTGACTGTCACCCTGAACATTAGTATAATGAAGTTTTTTTTATAGTTTTAGTCTAATATAGTTTTAGTCTGATTGAGTTTTTTGTTTGTTTTTGTAACTTCAGATAACTGTGTTACGAGGTGTCTTGATTGAAGCCTTTATTACTTTCGTCAGCCGACTGGTGGCGCTTCAGTCTAGAAAGTGGGACGTAAAAACAGCTGGAGTTATCAACTCCATCACCATTACAGTTTTATCGCTAGGAGGTGAGAGGACCGTATTACGATAAAAACAAAAACAATCGTATAATTCTAAAAACGAGATTCAGCTAAATACATAATTAATATTTCTAACAGTTATTGAAAAGTGTGAAAATATAGTGACAAAACATTTCAAATGCTCATTTTTTTTTTAACTCTCCATTTGTATTTCAGCTCTCGGCACAACGGGAGGATTTTTTAACCCTATCTTAGCGTCTGTCTTAACACTTGGTTGCCATGGTAACACATTAACGGAACACGTTGCCGTTTACTGGATTGGAGCTTTTCTTGGTGGGCTGGTTGCTAGGTTACTTCATCAAACACTAGAGGAGGTAACAAAACGGAAAGAGTCTTAAACTTTACTTGTTTGCTTATTGTAAATGTGAAGATGTGCTGTGCCCTCTGCTCGGATCCAACCCCAAATTTTGGTGTCATAAGCCCTCGAGTTTGTCGCTGAACTTTAAACAATAACTGGAGATTGCCTACGTTCACCTTCGATATTTACATACATCACATCTGCTTTTTATACTTTCAACAGGTAACGGTTTTTTCATGAATTATTAATTTTCTCAACAAGAAGAAAAATTGCTCCCTTCTCTCAAGTGAAGTTGTATCGTTTCAGGAATAAACTTGTAAATACAGTGGAACGATTCGTTACTTTTCCTGTACATCAGGCGTGTCTACACCGTATAATAGATTTCTTCGGTTTTATATTTCACATTCAAAACTTAACCCTGACTAGTTATATTTGTGTATATTTTAATGATAACTGATTCATATTTTCATATTCAGTTTTTCTCAACATAAAACAGATATTTTGACTTATCAGTTCTTAACATAAATCAGACATGCATGTCTTGTATTATCTTGTTATATTTCTTTCTATAGTATATCAACCATTTCTGTTTTTCTCTAGACCTGTTATAGTATAAGTTAGGAGTACCTTTATTTATTTATTCTATTATTATTTCTTATTCCTGTAAACTCCCAGTGGAGCATAGGGCCGCAACAACACCTCGCCAACGGAAGGTGTTGTTGCAGTTACTTGTAGCAGGTTGGTTTTTTACGGGGTGGAGTCTAATCGAATAGTAGGATGCGACCATTACTCTCGTAGCGCATCCATTACCCCAAAGTGTTGAGCGTCAACGGAACCAGGTGGCAATACTACTTCCGATAATGAGTTAAAATCCAACCATTAATGATAGACAAATTAACGTATAAAATTTACTAAATACGCGTGTATTGGAGAATTTCTGTGTATTTAGATTATCTAGAACCAGCTACACGTGGATGTGCCAGGAGTTCTTTTACAAATAATCATACGACTTAAATAAGTTTATTTTTCCTAGTTCACATTTATTTGTTACACTAATTTATTATGTTCTAAATATACACACACACACACATATATAAAACAATAAAATATGGAAAATATTTGTTTGTTTGCTCTTAAGCGCAAAGCTACACATTGGGTTATTTGTGCCCTGCTCACTACGGGTGTCGAAACCCGGATTTCCATGTCATAGATCTGTAGACTTACCGCTGAGTCACTAGGGGACTGGAAGATATTGATTTGAGAGTTATGAAAACAGTATTTTTCATATTTTCTAAATGTTGAAAAAAAAAGAAAAAAGGTGCGAACCAATTATTTCTATTGATCACCATTATTTGCCCCTGGCCCGGCATGGCCAGGTGGTTAGGGCCCCGGCATGGCCAGGTGGTTAGGGCTCTCAACTCGCAATCTGAGGGTCGCGGATTCGAAATCCTCGTCCCACCAAACATGCTCGCCCCCTTTCAGCCGTGGGGGCGTTATAATGTGACTGTCAATCCCACTACTCGTTGGTAAAAAGAGTAGCCCAAGAGTTGGCGGTGGGTGGTGATGACTAGCTGCCTTCCCTCTAGTCTTACACTGCTGAATTAGAGACGGCTGGCGCAGATAACCCTCGTGTAGCTTTGCGCGAAATTTAAAACAAAATCGTTCATATCATCCAGATAGTTCTACACATGTTTCTTAATTATAACTGAGTATCAATTTCGATGAACTCTTCATTTCGTCTGTGTCGTTATTTTAATATAGTTAACTAGGTCGCATTAATATCATTTGGAAACGATTTTTGTCTACGAGCACGAAGTATAAAAGATTGTAACGTTTACATAATGACTCGTTCATTTACCAAGTTTTTTCCAGCATGATTTGTTAGAAGCCACCATCTTTGCTGTAGTTCATATGAGCTGGAGAATAATATTTTACACTCGAATGTTTGTAGTATCAATCACTGAATGGTTTTGAAAAATATCGTATATAATTTTATTCATGACATTCCTACGATGTGTTTGAAAATCGTTGTGTCTTTTTTTTTACATTCTATAATAGGTAAGTGTTCGATAAACGTACTAGAAATCAGGTGATAAGTTTTTTCGTCGTACTACACAGTACACCGTACTACAAATAATATATTAGGAAGGGTTTGTTTGTTTGTAATTAAGCACAAAGTTACACAATGGGCTATCTGTGCTCTGCCCACCACGGGTATCGAAACCCGGATTCTAGCGTTGTAAGTCAGCAGACATATCGCTGTGCCACTGGGGGGCATTAGGAAGGTAAAAAAGGTGCAACATTATGGTAACCACGGTTTGTTTGTTTCGGATATCTGCGCAAAGCTTCACAAGAGCTATCGGCGCTAGCCGTAACCAATTTTGAAATAACAAACTAGGGGGAAGGCAGCTAATCAACAGCACCCACCGCCAACTCTTTTACTACTCTTATCTGATCGAAAAGTGGAATTTTTTAAAATTTATATTTTGTAGCAAAGAGACACAAACATCAACTTTGAATCCAAAGTCCGACGATCGAACCACTAGGCCACGCCCGGCTCCACGGTAACTTTTATCAACTCTTGCCAAACGCTATAGTTATACAAATATATGAATCAAAATGCGTGTGTAACAGTTTTTTACAGTTAATTATTGAAATCTAAATAATTGTATCGAAATCCTGTAAAATTATATATTAAATCATATTCACAACACGCGTTTAAAGCTCAAAAGGAGCAGGTTATATACTCAAAAAATATGTGAAGCTTTAAGGTGGTAGACTGCAGTTAGGGTCGTTTTGAATTACTTTATTTAATGGATAATATTGCTCAAATATTTTACCTACAGAACGATGCGTTTAAAAGAAACATCTTCTAAAAACCCATTAAACATTGTACTCATCATGACTTGTAAATAAACTGCTTTGCTATACTGGCGACATCTATGGAGCACTTTATAAACCAATTAATCAATGTGTAAATTAGGGCCTGTTGTCACTGAGGTTTCATATTCATAATGTCATCATTGGTTGTTTAAATTCTTCAAAGTAAATTCTTTTTATTTTAGTGTGGGGAAAATAGACGGCATTTTTAAACATTTGTTCGTCAGTTATATCAAAATAATAAATTTAAAACCACCAACGTGTTTGGTGAAGACACACGGAGTAAATATTGATAAAAATACTTCTTATAGTTAAAGAAAATAACAACTTGTATCGGATTAACAGACATTGCTCACGTGGCTGGAAAAACCGCTTCTTCCAAGAGTGTACCTGAAACAAAACATTATTTTCTGGGTTATATTTTCAAGTTACTTTAACGAATAGACCTTGACTAATCTTAACCCTAGAATTATCGATAGAAATTTCCCATCGGTTCTTTAAAAAATAGTTTCGCATTTCTCGTGAACCCATTATTTTCTTGGTTACAGGGTTGCTAGTAACACACAAAAGATGTAAACATAATTACACATTAATATGTATATTTTCACTGTGGTATATTTTGTACTTAACACAGAGAACGATTAATTTCGTCAACTATTTATACTTAGTGACGTAACAGGGTAAACAAATAATTACTCAATATGTGGGCCCTACCGGTAGTAAACGGTATTAAAACAAGTCGGTGATTTGGGGGTTAAATCTATATATAGTATTGGAATTAATTATATGGATTTACGGCTAACCTAACATTCCTAAGACAGCCGAACATCGTGAGGTATTATTGGGATTACGGTCGAAAACATCGTTACCAGCGAGGATGTCTGACTGTATGATAAAAGGTTAAGGTCTACGTAGTTTGCTTTGTATTATGTATGAGAAAATGTTTGGTACCATCAATACGTCATTACTGGCTGTTTCTGACTTCTACATACCATAAACACAGACAACATTTACCTGCAACACAGGCAGTCATGAAACAAGCTGCAGAACCGGCCAACATAGCCCGAACAGCAAGCTGGGCTAATTCTGGCTTTCTCTCAGGAGCCATTGCTCCCAGGCCACCTAGTGTGATTCCTATAGATGCTATGTTAGAAAATCCGCAGAGAGCGTACGTTGCTATGGCGTCGGACCGGATCTACGGAGAAAAGTGTGTGAAAACGTCAACAAAGTAGGACTCGAAGTAACGATTAAAGCGTTTAATTAAATAGAGTGTGCGTGAGTAACTGTAAAATATATAGTAAAAGTAGAGCAGCTAAATTTTTGGATGGGTAATTAAACAAAAAAGAAAATAAACTCGTTATCTGATTGGTTTGATCATAAAGTTTATATTAAAATATTTGCATAGAAAATATGTATTTACAAAATAAATAAGTTTGTCCAAACAAAATCAACGTTAATCACTGACAAAGATCAGAGGTTAGCTGGCATTTCGTTCTGGTGGTTTAATGTACGGACATTTTAAATTTAATAATCACAGGAAATAAAAAATATCGTTCCCCACTTTTGTCGTTCATTAAGTTAAGTATAAACACACACACTTACAGATATAAGTTAAGTATAAACACACACACTTACAGATATAAGTTAAGTATAAACACACACACTTAC